TTGGCTTCAACTAGCCAAGATGTTCTCTGCTGTTTCCTGGACGCTAAACCAACAACAGCCTTCCCCGTCATAAGCCAGGATGGGTGAGTCCATGAGTGTTAAGTGACAGTGTGATGTAGCTGTCAGGCTTCTCAAATCCTAGAGTTTCTATTTTCTATCAGAAGCTAATGCAGGAGAATGGTGTAGGAGACTATTTTCATGTTTAACCTGCATAAAAAAATGCAAGAGAGACCGATTATAATCAGAAATAATCATTAAAAATATGTTTTTCAGAGTTCCACACCCAAAATAGGAATACAACTGTTACTAGGAAGGTAGCCATACTGGATTTAGAGATTGGAGCTAGCCAGGACTCTGCATCTCTTTTATCTTCAATAAGCATGCCAACCCAGTTTTCTGATTAGAATTCAAGTATATACTACTTAGAGTAATTTGTAGGGATGTTTGATATCGGCTTAGTTTTTAACCACTATCTGATTTACCAATGTAGTCCGACGTCTTATTTCCAAGACCAATTTAAACCAATACACACATATGCAAGCCCCCATTCAAAAAAGAAAGAAAAAACCGGAATAATTTTATACAACTAAGTTATTTTATCTCCTACACTATATGTGCAAAATATGACAACTACTTCAGTTTAAGACATGCCAGTTGTGCCACACCCAAAAAATCTCCAAAACTAGACTTCAAAGCTGTCGCGTATTTTGTGATTTTGAGTTAGAGCAGAAGTAGCTTAGCAGTTTGATATATAATATGTGCATGGTGTGTTGTGTTATTAAGAGTTTAAACCAATATCGATCATCTCTGATATCACAGTCGGCCAATGAGTGTAGGCCGATAATATCAGACATCCCTGGTAATTAGTCTAATCATATTAAAACATTTTTAGAGAAAACATCTAATGTGCCAAGAGTAGAGGTGATGTCAACTCTGAGCTCTGTGCAATAAGAAAGAGATGCACAGAGGGTTTGTAGCTAAAGTTCTCCAGTCGTACTCCTGTGATGGGAATTTATTGGGAGGTCGCATCAATCCTAATCACAAATTTAACAGGAGCTCAGATCAATCAGATTCAGTTTTGAGTTAAGCCATTTGAACATGCAAATGCACAAAGAACCATGAAATCAATCACTAATATTCCTATTTGAGTAAATCTGAAGGATTAAAGAGTAACCTCTCTGAATCAGTTTTGCATTGGCGTGTTTGTGTCTGATGGCCGCTTCTCTCGACCTTTGAGTAGATGTAAAAGCACAGGTACTTGTGTGCAACATGATGGCTGCAGATTCCCCGGCTATTTAAAGCCCATTCCAACATTTTCCCCAAACTACTTGCAAAAAAAGCAACAATTTGGAGCTTGATTTTAGTCCTTTTTAAAAAGCTAGTGCAATTTATATTTATTTCTAAATTGTCAGAATCCCATCTCCATCTGAGCATGTTTGTAATGAGAGACCTTCAAAAATCTAGCACCGACCAGATCTCTCACTTATATTACAGCAACACACACAAATACGCAGCGTTATACTGCTTTTGACTAAATGCACAAGCAAGATCGAACATAAATAAAAGTGGACACGTGATTGGTGCTGCTGGTTAATTAGAAATAATGAAATTGTATTCTATGGGAAAGCACTGGGAAAACCTCATAGGAGGAGGTGATGGGGGTTGGGATTGGGAAAGCGGAGGCTCAACTGGATTATCAGGACCAACCAGTTCAGTCTGGTTAATATTGCTCAGTAGACCACCGGGAGGCTTTTTAGATCCACTGTTTCCATTTAGCAGTTTTTCTACCATCTGCTGTGTTTTAGCATCCGTCTCTTTGTAGGAAGCTCCATTTTTCAAAACAGTAATTTTCAAGCAAACCCACTTTTACACACCACCTGTTTGATGTGAATGTTGTATGATCAGCCAACAGCTATCAACAGCAGGGTGTTCCGTAGGAGACTGATGAAAAATTAATAACTTTTCTGTAGGTAGGTCTTTGAATGACCTCAGTTTGGAGAAACAGAGATTAGTTCTGAGCAGATCAACAAGCTAGTGGTTAGTCACTGTGGGGTCCAGACAAGGACGACTGCTATCTTAAAGCGACTTTAATGTGAAACGTTTAAGTGGTTCATGCTGCTTCACACCATTTATTTCATGTTGTACTTAAGTATGTAGAAATATGAAGGCTCCAGTTGCTTGGGTTTTATATAAATAACCACATAATGTAATGTTGACGGGTATGCAAGGGCCTGTGCGAGTAAGAGCGTTAAATGGCTAATACATTTTTAAATTTGGGATTAGTTTTTCAGACATGGTCTGACTACCCGTTAGCTTGTTAATCCAGTCCAAATCCATTTTTCTATGAGTCAATTGATTACATAGTTTTTTCCCCATGTAACCCTCTTGATGAAGCCACTCAGCTGTTTAAAACTTCCTAAATAGTAAATTTAATAAACTGTCTAGTCATTTTCACCTTATTCATAAGAAAAGGAACACGTTAGCCTAGTGAACTAGACCAAATTCTTGCTTTGCAAAGGTTGGTCTAGGAACGCTCCACTGGAACCTCTGCAGCCCCTAACAGCATTCTGGCTGGCCAATCACAGCTCTCTAGAGGGGTTTCAAATACATAAAAAACTGTGATTGGTTCTTAATGGTGGGCCAATCATAGTGCTCTATCTGCTTAGTGAACAAATCACAGAGCTTTATCTGCTTTGTGGGCCAATCAGGGCACTCTCTATGCCTGGTGGGTGGGATGATGCAACAGAGTGAAACAAGATGGCGACAGCTCGTTAGAAACGGCTTTTACATCAATTTTGGACTATTAGAACTTGGGCTTCATCAGAATCAGGAGCATACAGTACGTTTACATGCAGCCAATATCCGGGTTATGATCGGGTTAAGGTCGGTATTCGGGTTTCTGAGTTGATCAGAGTAACCCGTTTACAAGCATAAATAGAAAGAGTTACCCCTAACTTGCATAACCCGATTTAAATGCGGACGTTGGGGTAGCGTCAGGACGTATGGACTACGTCCAGACGCAATATGCGTCATTTCCGGTTCTTCTTGTACCGGTATCCGTGAAAACAACATTTTTCCCAGTTCGCAAGAGATAGCGACCGCGTTTGTTTGCGCTTTAGTTTCCTCGTCACTCCAAAAGTGTGGTGCTGTGCCGCGACTCGCCATGTTGCTCCCAACTTGTTGTTTACTTCCGGTGTTCAGGCGCATACAAGACGTCTTGCTACTCAAAAGACCAAGATTCCTTGCGAACAGAGCATGCGCAGAACACACGCTTTGATGGGGATATCCCGATATGCGTTTACACGACCAAACATTCAGGTTAGAAAAGGGTTACCCCAGGTGTAGTAACCGGGTTTTTAAAAACCCGGTTATGAGCATATCCGGGTTTTTGGCAGTGTTTACATGGACCTGCGGAACCGGGTTATTGTGAATATTCGGGTTTTAAAAGGGTTACTGGCTGCATGAAAATGCACTGATAGATGTATTAAGTGCTTTTTTTTTTTTTTTTTTTTTTTAGAAAAAATAATGTGTTTTCTCCTTCTTCAACTGTGGACCACCTCATTTACCGATGGCTGTTGCGGTGAGTATGTCACATTCATCGTCCAGTAGCATGCAGAGATCATTTGAAAGACAACGGTAGAACCCGCCCTAACATCGCAGAGCCGTCAAGGGAGCATTGCCAGACTAAATAATACATTTATTTAATCTGGCTTGCCAGGCTAGGAACACGTGGTCATTATTGAAAAACTGATGGTAAAATTCTGCAGCTTTACTGTAGATTTTATTTATCTTTTGGTTTCAGAAGTTTTGTGTTTCATATGTTGTTGAAGATAATTGAGTTATGGCTTTAAACAGTCACCTGGAGGGTGCGTAGGAGTTCGCCCAGCCAATCTACATGTGTTTAGTGGATTTAGGGAAAGCGTTTGACCGCATCCCTCTGGGAACCTGGGGGTGGGTTATTCCGGCAGAATGGGGTACCAGGTCCTTGGATACGGGCTGTTGGGTTCCTGTATGATCGGTGTTAGAGCTTAGTCCGCATTGCGGTAAGTATCAGGTAAAAGTTGGACTCTGCCAAGGTGGCCCTTTATCACAGATTCTGTTCATAACTTTTATGGACAGGATTTCTCTACCAAGGTGCTGAGGGGATCTGTTTTGGTGGTCTGAGGATCAGGTCTCTGCTTTTTGCAGATGATGTGGTCCTGTTGGCTTCATCAGACCGTGATCTCCAGCTTTTGTGGAGTGGTTCACAGCCGAGTGTGAACCAGCCTCTCTAAATCCGAGGCCATGGTTTTGAGTCAGAAAAGGGTAGAATGCCTTCTCCTGCATCAAGAGGAGTTGAAGTTTATTGTGTTCTTGTTCACAGGTGGGGGAAAGATGAGAGATTGGTGCTGCGTCTGCAGCGAAGCGGGCATTATACCGATCTGTCGTGATGAAGAGAGAGCTGAGCCGGAAGGCAAAGCTCTCGATTTACTGTTCGATCTACGTTCCTACCCTCACCTATGGTCACGAGCTTTGGGTAGTGACCGAAAGAACTAGATTGTAGATACGAGCAGCCCAAATTAGCTTTCTCTGCAAGGTGTCTGGGCTTTCCTTTAGAGGGTGAGGAGCTCTGTAATCTGGGATCCGCTGCTCCTCCGCGTCAAGAGAAGCCAGTTGAGGTGACTCGGGCATCTAGTTAGGATGCCTCCTAGATGCCTCCCTGGTGAAGTTTTCTGGGCCTAAAGGAAGACCTAGGACACGCTGGAGGGACAATGTCTCGGCTGGCCAGGGAACGCCTTGGGATTTCCTCAGCGGAGCTGTGGGAGAGGGTTGTCTTGGCCTCTCTGCTTAAGCTGCTGCCCCTGCGACCCGACCCTGGATAATCGGAGGAAAGTGGAGGAATAGATGGACAAATATAGCCTTTAAATTTAGAAAAAGAGACCCTTTTTCAAAAGTTGTGCTGGTGTGTGTTTCATACACCACTTAACGACCACGAAGAGAAAAAAACACATGCACTGAAATGATATCTTATGTAAGCTTTACTTTCAAATCCTGTTACATTTAGATCTGGCAAGTTGAACATAAAATAATGCCAAACAAGGAAAAACAAGTACAAAAAACAAAAAATAAAGTACAAATGATCTATTTACCAGTTATCGTCACAACCCTGTACAGCCTTAACAATGGAGTAATAAAAAAAAGCTTTGTACAGCACATACCAATCTTTACCAAGTGCCAAAAGTTAAGAGAGTTGCGCCTTTTTTCACTTCTCTAATCAGAAAATACAGCCAAACTTAAAGCTAACCGACTGTAGACAGTGCAGTGAGATACCGACTAAATGCAACCAAGGGAGTTGGTCTGAAACACAATTAAGTGCTAAAGGACCAGAGAGAAACATATCATGCATACTCTGAAGTGCAGAAAAGGTAGTCAAGCTCAAAGAAAAGGTCATTGTGCTGCATCCAGCTGGGTAAAACAAACAGGATAAGTGCTCCAGAACACTGCTTTCCTAAGGATTAAGAGTCCCGTTACCTTTTTAAAACATTTATTGAGGGGGACAGAAACAAGTGCAGCCATTCATGATTATTAAAAAGGCAGACGTTTGAGAAAAGAGCAGACACATTCTTTTTTTTTTTTGTTTCTCTTTATGTTTAGAACTACTGGACCCTGACAATTAGTTTGACTCATTCTCAGAAGTCTCAGGTGGTTTCCTTCCACCAAGTGGCACTAGAGTATAAAAGATAACAAAGATAGTCCAGAAAGTGTGTTTGGAGGGGGATGCTCCTTTCTCTTCAGACACATCATGCTAGACATTAACAGATCAAAAAGGTTTAAACAAACAGCCGTGTTAATGAGGAGGCGGTGGCGGGGGGAATTACCAAGGGCGTGACGGATTCAATCCTAACATCACATCCTGTATCGAGTCAGAATTTGGTCTCAACAATTCAGGATCTCTGTCCAGCCTACGTTTATTAAGGACAGTGCATCAAAAGTACAACAGCCACTCGCAAATATAAGAAAATTTTAAAAATACCAACAAAAAATAAGGGATTTTGGCTTGAAGACCACTTAGGAACACAAGCGCAAACAAGTAAAGCCTTTATTAGAAAATAAAAAAATAAACTCATTCTTGAACTACGCTGCCTGATCTCACTAAAACAAATGTCCTTTATCAGCATTTTATGGATAAATACATATTCTCATTATCAAAAAGTGCAGCAATGTGCAAAATTGGCTAGAACAATTTAGCCTGGGACCTTTTAATTCCCAGGAGGGGAGCTTGACCTCTACTGTCTAATTCTTGCAATTTGTGTTCATTGACTTTCTCCGATTTCACAGAGGCAGACCTTTTATGCACCGTCAGAAATGACCAGAAACTCAAGGGCGGGGGGGGGGTAAGTCGAGTCGTTTTCCAGCAACAATTGCACACTCGCATTATGGTTAACTTGGTAGACGGAAGGTTGTACTTAAAAAAGAAAGAAGTGCTTTTGGCTTAATGAGTAACAATAGTAAGTGCGATTAAAAAAATAAAATATAATTTGACAGACAGGGAGAGGGTAGTTGAAAACAATCTAAAGCAGTACCATGTCTGGCAGCCTAACAGAAGCCAGTGTCACTGTACAAATGCACGGCTTCGCTTCATCATTGCACCTACCAGAGCTTCTCGATGAATGTTAGAAAAGGTTTTACGTGATGCAGAGGGCTAAGTTTTAACAAATAAAGTCAAACACACAAAAAACATGAAAAAAGACAAAGGCCACCGAACAAACAACGTCCTTGTCCCTGTTCACACTTCTGTATCGCATCTTTACATGTACATAAACAAAAATACATTCATTCAAGTCATTTTGGAACAGTTTTTTTTTCCTTCTTTTGTACACAAAAATTACAAAAAGCTCCAAAAAGCACCATTGAATCGGCCTGTGGTGACTGACGGTGGGCAGCGCGCTGACCCAGAGCAGCTCACCTCCACAAAACGGGTTTCTCATAGATCTCTTCTACATATGGGAGCGTGACAGAGTTCTGCATGCAATGCTGCACTGATATCAACCTGGTCTCAGAAATAATAACTAAAAGTCACATATTAAGCATCTGGAACAGGGATCCCCAACCACTCAGCTGCAGCGTGTTTGCTACGAACCAAAAACAGCACATTCATACCGTAACAACAGCAAATATCGCTAACGTTGACCTGGATCATTGCTGAGATTTCACCATCCTTACCTGAGCTTCAGCTGCATTACTTACAGGTAAACAATGCTCATTTGTTCCACTAATTTACTAGTTTTCTAGATTTGGAACCATGTTTACTCATGCTCAAATTCTCACACAATCAATATTTCTAATTTCTTACCCGATCTTGATGCAATCACTGTAAATATTCAATGGAGTTACATGCACCCTATAGTCTGGATGATTAGATTTTTGCTACGTTTTTGGTTAAAATCTGAAGTCCTGTTATGGATCATCTATAAATAATGTGTAATACTTTACACAGGAGCTAATTAACAGAATATATCAGTTTTTAGTAATTAGAAAAACTAAGACACTGACGGTGTGAACTTTAAACACAGACACAGAAAATACTAAAGACAAACTTTGCTTGATAACAAATATGACAAACTCCTTACTACCCTCTTTTTTTACCCTAATTACCCTAATCCGAATGCATCCTGACTCCTCGCCACCCTGTGACGTGAGAGTTTTGTCTGCATGAAGCCGGGTTAGGGATCCCCGTTTAACATTTCACTGCCGTTCTCCACCTGCGAGTGCAAAAGCATCGGCGAGTCTTTGCATTTATCTTTAGATTATCTGATAATAAATGTATCTTTGCTCACATGTTAGTTCAGGTTGAAGATATTTACATCATCACAGCTTATTGTCCGAGCTTTTTAACAAAAATCTATCAGACTTACTTTTGACTCTGAGACACAACTGAGATCAGTCAAGGGCAACGCAGACACGGCAACGCTTTTACCATCGTAAAAAAACTTAAATCCAAAAAGATGAGCAGGGGACAAGGGCTACAAAACTATGTACAAGGTTGATAAGTAAGTGCATGATCTGAGGCGTCACTTTGGGAATGTGGCCTTTCCGATGAACAGCGTTCCATTTCATTGGTTGTGTCCACATTGCACGGCTAACACTTCAGGACATCTCGAATTCAGCTTCCTAATGACGTCAAAGCTAGCTGAAACACTCAAACGGGCATGCTATTGTGATGCATACTAGCCAGGGACAAAAATGCACTAAAATATAGCATTTGCAAAGTTTGTTTTGTCTTTTTCAATGTTTTATCTTGTCAAACGACTAAAGAAAATATCTATAAAACTCAGATACGTTAGTCTGGACTGGGTCCGGGCCGTTCGGATGCTTCCAAACGGAAACAAAAAGGTAATAGAGTGTAGTACTTGTAGTAGTAATAACAATCCATAGAACTGATAAGAAAAGCAGCTTTTTGATATAAATGCATTTTAGCATGTACAGAATTTTTCTCTTAATAAACATTTTTTTCAGTTTTTCTTGAATATGTTTGTCTGGTCCAGCTTCCTCTGCTGGTCTGATTGGAAAAGACGTTGCCCCCGCGGTCACGAGTCATTCACACCACCGTCTGACGGGGAGAGGGGGAGAAAAAGGGGGGAGGTCAGACAGTTTTGGCCCTCTCCATCAGTCCCAGGTAAGCTAAGAAGGAGTGTTTGTGGGAGGAGGGTGAGGAGGAGGAGAGGGACACTGGGTTGGAGGAGAAGAGGAAAGGAGGCGTTGCTGGTCGCCATCTTGGGTGAAGGTGTGAGTGGAATGTGGGGCGGCTGTTGTGGGTGAAAAGGGTGGTGAGGGGGATCAGGTGGGCTGGGCTGCAGTTCCTGTATTCCTCCAACAAGTGGCGTGACGAGGGGGGGAAGAGGGAGGAGCTGGCGCTGCTCACACCCCCGCAGGTTCTGATGGCGTCACCACCATTGGTGCTGATGCACAGATGGCTGCCGGGGTCCAGCTGGTGGGACGTACCCAGCGTGAGTGACAGCGCCACCGACTGGAGCGCCTGAGAAGCTGTTAGACTCATGAGGGGGCTGTTACTCCCACTCCCCCCGCTGCTGCCTCCCCCACTGAACAGGAAGCCCTCCTGGCTCCTCTGGAGAGAAGAACGCTCCAGTGATGCTCCTTCCTCTCCTCCTGCCTCCTCATCCTCATCTTCTTCTCCACCTCCCCCTCCTTCGAAGCCTCCGTCCAGCCTCACCATTCCTCCCCTCTGGTGTTTCTTGAGGTGGCGGCTGAAGACGAAAGGGTGTGTGGTGGTGAACGGGCACTCGTGGCAGCCGAAAGTCTGGCGCGGTGCGTGCTTCAGCTTCTTGTGCAGATTGAGGTTGTCCTTGCGCTTGCAGCTATAAGAGCAGTGGTCGCAGTGGAAGGGCCGCTCGCCCGTGTGCACGCGCACGTGCTCGATCAGCTTGTTGGCTGTTTTGGACAGGTAGCCACACTGCTCACACTTGTAGTGGTTGCCGAGGCGATGCCCCCGCATGTGCGCCTCCAGTGAGGCCTGGTCAGGCCACAGTCCCTGGCAGATGCGGCAGCGGTACTCCATCTTACAGTGCGTCTTCAGGTGGCACTCCATGGCCGCTGGACGGTTGGTGGAGTAGATGCAAAAAGGGCACCTGGTTAATGCAACAAAAAGGGGGGAGGGAGGGGGAGGACATAACACACACACACACACACAGAAGCAGAAGACAGTTGAAAGGAAAGTGTATGCTCACAACCACGTAACACACCTCAACGTCCAGTAAACACAAAATGATGATGAGGAGGACAGATAAAGGGAGATGTGTACAATGTACAGGTGTGTGTGTGTGTGTGTGTGTGTGTGTGTGTGTGTGTGTGTGTGTGTGTGTGTGTGTGTGTGTGAGGCGGTGGAGAAAGATGGGAGCAGTAGGATCATGAAGGGAAATGAAGGAATGAGTGGCACTTACATTTAAATAGCACCTTTCATCTGCTCTGGGCCCCAAAGCGCTTCACAAACCCTGCAGAACAGAATCACCTGAGAAAAACCTCACAATGATCAAGGCCCCGTCTCCCTCGCACTTCACATCACTCGTCTGTCACACCTGCTCGTCTCATTCCTGCTGGTTCTGATATTAAACCCATAAAAAGACTAGACTTGGCTAAACATATCAACAAAAATAAAAACATTTAAACTGCTTGATTTCCCTTTATTCCTCCTCTGAGTAAAACAAATCTACAGAATAACGATCTTGGCCCGGTCTTCAGAAACATTTACACCGGACAGAAGAAACCTTTAGCCTTTAGCTCATTCTGAGCAGGGCTTCCAGTGGATTTCGTGTTCTGTTGTCTGCAGGTTGTCAGTAGCAGCTTCCTACTCTCATCCACACTGATGTCTGCACACAAACAAACACGTGGACTTGTGCTCGTGACACGATGAGGCGGCAGCCATAATACTTAATGGTTCTTGAACATGGAAACAAAAACATGACTCATGTAGCTTGAGATGAATCTTTACAAAAACTATTTATTTTATATTTATATAAAGGTGTTAGTGAATTATATGCTACAACGGCTTGCCACAGAGTCTGCGGTGGATGGAGCAGACTCGTAGCAACCACCAGACGGCAGCTGCAGCAGCTCTGCTCCACACCGCTGCAGAGATCCACAAATGAACGGGATGGTGGGGATTTTCCTTTCGCTTGTAGAGGTTAGTCATTCACAACCATCGCGTTTTTTCCGAACCACACTTGCTCGTGAGAATGCTACCCGCTAGCTCAGCATTAGCCAACCTACCCATAGTTTAACTCTGATCCCAAACTTTGGATGGTCTCTCTATTTTCCTCCACAGCTCCTAGATCACCATGTAGTGCACCAGTAACATGTGTTCAGACTGTGGAACGCACATTTAACGACGCTTCGAATAATTAAAAGTGAATTGAGGAATTTAATGAATTGAACCATTCAAATCATTCGATGATTCGTTTCAGCCCTAGTCACAACCCTGAACTTCAGATGCGAACTTGCATTTAAATCAGCTGTTTGGTTCCAGGAATGAGTGATCAGATGTACAGTGGGGCAAAAAGTATTTAGTCAGCCACCGATTGTGCAAGTTCTCCCACTTAAAATGATGACAGAGGTCAGTAATTTTCATCATAGGTACACTTCAACTGTGAGAGACAGAATGTGAAAAAAAAATCCATGAATTCACATGGCAGGATTTTTAAAGAATTTATTTGTAAATCAGGGTGGAAAATAAGTATTTGGTCAATAACAAAAATTCAACTCAATACTTTAACATAACCTTTGTTGGCAATAACAGAGGTCAAACGATTACTATAGGTCTTTACCAGGTTTGCACACAGTAGCTGGTATTTTGGCCCATTCCTCCATGCAGATCTTCTCGAGAGCAGTGATGTTTTGGGGCTGTCGCCGAGCAACACGGACTTTCAACTCCCGCCACAGATTTTCTATGGGGTTGAGGTCTGGAGACTGGCTAGGCCACTCCAGGACTTTCAAATGCTTCTTACGGAGCCACTCCTTTGTTGCCCGGGCGGTGTGTTTGGGATCATTGTCGTGTTGGAAGACCCAGCCACGTTTCATCTTCAAAGCTCTCACTGATGGAAGGAGGTTTTGGCTCAGAATCTCACGATACATGGCCCCATTCATTCTGTCCCTAACACGGATCAGTCCTCCTGTCCCCTTAGCAGAAAAACAGCCCCAAAGCATGATGTTCCCACCCCATCCTTCACAGTAGGTATGGTGTTCATGGGATGCAACTCCGTATTCTTCTTCCTCCAAACACGAGAAGTTGAGTTTTTACCAAAAAGTTCTACTTTGGTTTCATCTGACCACATGACATTCTCCCAATCCTCTGCTGTATCATCCATGTGCTCTCTGGCAAACTTCAGACGGGCCTGGACATGCACCGGCTTCAGCAGCGGAACACGTCTGGCACTGCAGGATTTGATTCCCTGCCGTTGTAGTGTGTTACTGATGGTGACCTTTGTTACTGTGGTCCCAGCTCTCTGCAGGTCATTCACCAGGTCCCCCCGTGTGGTTCTGGGATTCTTGCTCACCGTTCTCATGATCATTTTGACCCCACAGGATAAGATCTTGCGTGGAGCCCCAGATCGAGGGAGATTATCAGCGGTCTTGTATGTCTTCCATTTTCTGATAATTGCTCCCACAGTTGATTTTTTCACACCAAGCTGCTTGCCTAGTGTAGATTCACTCTTCCCAGTCTGGTGCAGGTCTACAATTCTTTTCCTGGTGTCCTTCGAAAGCTCTTTGGTCTTGGCCATAGTGGAGTTTGGAGTCTGACTGTTTGAGGCTGTGGACAGGTGTCTTTTATACAGATAATGAGTTCAAACAGGTGCCATTAATACAGGTAACGAGTGGAGGACAGAAAAGCTTCTTAAAGAAGACGTTACAGGTCTGTGAGAGCCAGAGATTTTCCTTGTTTGAAGTGACCAAATACTTACTTTTCACCCTGATTTACAAATAAATTCTTTAAAAATCCTGCCATGTGAATTCATGGATTTTTTTTTTCACATTCTGTCTCTCACAGTTGAAGTGTACCTATGATGAAAATTACTGACCTCTGTCATCATTTTAAGTGGGAGAACTTGCACAATCGGTGGCTGACTAAATACTTTTTTGCCCCACTGTATATTTGTCCTTACACTAGTCAGGCCTGTGCCAACAGATTTTCTATAATCAACTGTACAGTATATACCAACGTAAGTGTCTGGAATCCAGATTTCCTCTGATATTTTGTCGTTGGCATGGCTGGAAGCTGTGGGCAGAGGAACAACAGACCCTGAGGGGAAGCCTGTTTCCATCTCCCTTCTGTTCAGCACAGCCACTGCAGATCCGCGGACCGCTGCCTAATAAGTCCCGCTCGCCAAGAGAAGCCGTCGAGCAGCACATCTACAGCTTGTATCGTTTGGTTTTCCTGGCTGCAGATAGTGAACATAGAAGTGGGGTTAACTGATTAAAGCCACATGGCTAAAATCATCTTCAGACTGACCCTGCATCTGCGTCTCTGTCCCAGTAAATCGGCACTTACAGGTGTCATCTGTGTGGCTGGAACCACTTGTTCTTTTTCCTCCAGGCGACGTGATCAGTGCTGCTAGACTACAACGCTCAGACTCTGGAGATGATCACAGGTTGCTGCTTTTAACAGACACGTTGACGTAGATACAATTATACTTAATTTTTCTACTGAGTTAATAAAGAGTGCCGGTACCTAATCAATGAAGTGTTCTCGTGGTTAGCGATCAGTTTCGGATCGTATCTCCTGTAGCTTTGGAAAGACCCACACAAAAGATCTGACGCCCTAATGACCCACTGGCAGCAGCTTTAACATTTCTGTTATACATAAAAATGTAGAGATTTGAAGTTTAGATTAACAAAAGTTAGTCGCTCTATCAACACCCTTTGAAACGTGTTCAGGAATGTTCTAGTTTAACAAAAGTGTCCTGACTCAGGTAGACACACACATACAGTCCTTGTGCGATTTCCTTTAACCCAAAGTAACCTAGCTGGTGCACCTCTGATAAGCCTGCTTGTCTTTTTAATGTGGTGAACTGAGACGATGATGGAGGGGGAAGGAGCGGTGGTGGAGGTAGGAACCTGTGTCTGTACTTGCTTTCCTTACTTGAGCCCTCCGGAAGGGACGGTGTGGCACTTCTTGTGCTCCAGCAGCTGCTCGGGCGTCTTGAGGAACTTGTGGCAAACGTCGCACTCAAACATTCGTGTGATGAGGTGGATCTGGAGGTGGCGCTCGTACATGCTGCGGGTCTTGCACACAAAGTTGCAGAATACGCACTCAAAACCTGGAGAGAGCAAGAAAAAGAGTCAAGCAGTGAGACACAGCTGGACAGGATTTTTATAAGTAACCCACTCACAAAGAGTCAGAACACATCCAGATTGAAGTCTCCTCACTTGAATTCTGATATTTCTGAAATTATCTGCAGTGTTTTTGGACTTTCTAGATTTAGCACCTTCATAATTAATTTAGTCTCTTAGCAGCTTCAAAGTAAAAAAAAAGTCTTTCTGAATTTATAAAAGCTGCATTCTCAGCCATCTGCTTACTGAGAAAACTACAGCAGCACAAACACATGCAGGAGTCTCACTTTGGATCCGTTACTGGGTTTAAAACTGACAGGAGGAGTTAGAAAACGCTGCTATGGCCACTTTGTTATGTTTTAAGACTTTATGAGTTTAATAATGATGAAGTGGGCGTGGCTGCCAGCAGTTCCCACAATCCCTTGCCTTTGTCTGATTTATCCTCAGTTCCTGATCCTGAGTGACTTCCAGAGCTGGCCTGGCTGCCTGCGGAGGAGGGCGGGGCTAGCAGGTTCTTGAGTTCCTCGTTTCCGTGGGTGATGTCGCCACCCTCAGAGCTGTTGAGCGAATCGCTGAGGGCCGAGAGGGACGATGAGGTGCTCTTGGTCTCGCTGAGGGGACTTCTGGAGTTCAGACCTGGACATAAGAGGGCGAGCTTTAATTAACAGAGTAATGAAAATGTGGTGATGGGGACTTGAATTCTAAATAAGAGGGTAAATCTGCGGAAACTCTGAGGTGTGTGTTGAGCAGTAGATCTATTTCTGGTTCCCATTGTTACACACACACACACACACACACACACACACACACACACACACACACACACACACACACACACACACAGAAGCAGGCAGTCTGAACTGAGAGCCCTGCTGCCAGTCCAATCAAGATGCAGTGTGCTTTTATTGATCCTCTTCTCTAAGTACACAATTCACCAGGAAGAGAGGGGGAATTAGGAGGGGGAGGGGGCAGCAGGGAGCGCCGAGGAGCACGGGTCACGGCCGAAGGATCCAAGATGGCGGGAGCGTCTCAGGGCACACAACTCAACAAAGGGCAGAGGGAGTGAATGGAGAGAGAGAGAGAGAGAGAAATGGTTGACCTGTCTTTAATACAGGTGCACACAAACAGATGTGGGTCTGCTCTTTCAAAGGGGGAAATTATTCTGAAATGTAAGATTAATAACTCGATCAGATCCATCCATACACCTAAAGAAGCTCCAGTCACAGACGGGCCTCTGCAGCATTTTAATAAAGGACTGAACCAACCTTTCCTGCTGGCTCCTCAACAGCCATCCTCCATTCTGAAGCAAAAACACAACAACATGCTCCTCTGACCCACACTTCCATTTTAATCACACTTTAAACCAAACACCTTTGTGTACGATCACATTTGTGATATTAGAGCACAATTAGGAATTAAGCAGAGAACTCCGACTCTTTCTGAACTCGGCCCTCCTTTAAGGCACGTCCAAACTTCTGGAACATTAAGGCCTTCACCCACCGGCCAAAGCCCCGACATCTTGTTGAAATCATCAGGAGAAAGACACGTTTGTTTGGGTGGTGGTGTGAGACAGCGATAAATGCCACATCAGGATGAGAGACCTAAAAGTTGGCCACAGTGGCGTTGTAAACCCAGCCTGTCTCCAAAGGACCCGAGGCCTATTGATTTTCACCCCCCCTCAGGCACATAAGGGCCAACCTTCTCAGATAAACAAGGCCACTGTGGCCTTATGAAAGACCCTTCAGCTGTATGGGCCGGACAGTCCCACCTACCGATGCGCACGCACACACACGCACGCGCGCACACACACACACACACACACACACACACAGAGAGCTAAAACAAGCACCTTAGGTTCAGCGGATGAGGAAGAACATCAGCAATAAACTGAACAAAGTTGTTTTAGACAAAACGCTGATATCGACCGGGGGACTCACAGCAGCAGCTTTAAAAGTCCAAATGTGGTCGATTAGAGGAGGTTGGTCTGGGGAACACGGTTCTACTGCTCGTCCTCTATGCTGACCTCTGACTCGCTGTTTATAATCCTGAACACTCGCTGATGAGACCCTTCACTGGGCTGCAGCGGTTAGCAACCAGTTAGAGACAAAGTATAAAATTATGCTAATCATCAGTAACAGTTAAAGGTTAAAAATAAGACAAGGTCATGTAGGGTATCCGGTACAAACACTTTTACTCGTTTTTGTCTCAGTCTCAACACAATTTAATTAATTCTTTTGCCTTTGTGTTTTTTCTAGTTCCTAACAACGTAGCCTCAAACAGACGTATTCTTCTAAAAGCTTCCAGAAGCAAACAAGACAACTCTGACCATTTCAAGTGAAAATTTGTTGCACGAATTGCCAGAAACACGAGAGCAAGTCCATGTGACTCACACAAGCAAATAAAGAAGTCAAAAACTTTGAGATGTTTTAGAAACTCCCTCATGAAAGCTGTTTGCTATTCCTCACCAAATGGCTTCAAATTTGCCTGAAATGGAACAAAAACTTAGAAAAACAAGATGTTCTAGGGTTGGATTTGGAATAATTAAAAACACCATTAAAACTCCCTAAAACTCTTAGAGTTGTTTAAATCTGAATCTCGGGTGTACGAGGACTCGAGCAAAGCATAATGTTGCTGTTCAGAAGTTACACAGCATTTCTATTCTGAGCCTGGAAGACGAGCCGCGATGTGTAAAGCTGCCGCCCACTCTTACATGTGTGAGTAATCTTCTAAATAACTCTGTAAATCCCTTTTTTGAGGAATCCAAACATACTTTTCTACAGGGTATATACAGCAATCCTTAAGTAAAATTTACTACTTTTAATACTTTTTTTTACTACCTTCAGAATTTTTTTAAAACCGTCACAACACTAAATTGCAAGTGTTAATCAGCGACCTATTTACACATATTTTAACATATATAACATACAAAAAGCATAGACTTAGAGACTCACTGATGTTGACAACGTATTGCACATATTTATTTTACTTAGAAAATATGCCAGGCACTTCTTTTCAGCGGTTCAGACAGTTGACCACGAGGCCTGAAATGATGCAGAACGACCACTGAATAGGACGTTATCATTATGTGACCGGATATGCTAAAGTAGGGCTGCTCAATTATGGCAAAAACAATAATCACGATTATTGTGACTGAAATTGAGATCTCGATTATTTAAGACGATTTTTCAATTTATGTAGATTTTTTTAATTTATTTTTATTCAGTCATAAAACTGCTCAGGGCACAATCAGGGCAAAAATAAACAAGAAACAAGATGATCACTAAAATAACTCCTGATTCCCAGTATAAAAAGACCAATATACTTATAGCTCATAGTTTATGACCCAAGGGCTATATACCTTGGTTTAACTCATTTAAGTCTAACCCGTACAGACCCAAATACCAATATCTTGCAAATACTGACAGCAAGAATTATACAGTGGCATTTATAACAAATAAATGCAAATAAATTGATGTTCACAAAATGTTGCATAACATTTATTGAGTCATGTCAAGGTGCTGTAGGAGAGTGCACTAGCACCGTGTCCTCAGAGAGATAAGTTATTAGTTATCAGCGTGAGGAACTTATTTCTACCTTATTTATAAACTATTTATTTACAAGTCCATCAGTTAATGTAATAATTGTCCCAACCACAGCTGCACCCCCACCCCCCAACCCGGTCTCACAGCAATCGGGGCAAGCTGCACGTGTGTTTAGCGCGCCGCACGCGCAGTTTAGTGGCTCAGGAGCCCGCAGGTACGGTGTGTGTCACTCACTCTGGTTACTCCAACAGGGAGCCGGCTCCGAGAGCTGTTTCTTTAGCGACTGACACATCACTACATCATTCCCTTTCCTAATGTCCTGAAGAACGGTCCGGAGCGCAGGCGGAGTGTTTAGCTAACCTGCAGCAGGAAATGTCGACGATAGTTATCCAGAAAGTAGCTAAGGGTTACCAGAGATGTTTCTGAGGTGTTCGCTAGGTACTTTTAAGATTTAAAAAGTCAAGAAGGGGGTCTGAAAAGCTGTTAGAAATAGCGTCAAAGTCGCTAAGTTGGCAACGGAGCGCTTCATTTGTAACTCAGGGCAGCTCAAGCGGGAGGAGCAAATAATCGGCTTGTTTTGTTTTTATAATCGTTCAAAACATTTCATTCGGAATATATTTCTATGTCGATGTTCAGAATACGACACCTGATAGTCTGAAAAAAATAATACCTAACTTGGAAAAAATAATACCTCTGAGACCAAATTTAACACTTTTAATGGCCTTAAATTTGACTATTTTTATTTATCACTTTTTAATACTTTTTAAAACCCCGCGGACACCCTGTTCTACTATCCGGCACATGAAGAATGTAAAAAAAAAACTGAATTAAAAGTGGGTTTTGCTGAAGTAAGAACTCAGAGTGGCTTCAGCTCACAGGAAGCCGTTTACCTGCATGTCCGGTGCTGATGTGGCTCTTCATGTCACTCTCCTCCATGCAGACGTAGTCACAGACGCTGCAGCAGAGCGAGAACATCCACTGCTCCTTGTCCACATGAAGCGACATGTGGCTAACAAACTGGGCGTTCAGCTCGGTCTGGAAACCGCACACATGGCAGCTGGACAGCAAACAGACCGAGAGGGGAAAGAAAAAGATGGTGAGAAAGAGGAAAGAGCCAGTCCGCTTTAGTGTTACATTGGGCCTGCATAAACTGATGAGTGCAAGCTGCGTCTACGGTCCTTTTACATACGAATACGATTGATTGGAAACCGCTGATTCTGTAATTCAGAACCAGTCAGGCTGACTGACTTTTCAGAAGAAAACTTTAAAGCATCACGTTGGAAAAACTAAATTCCTTTCTTTCAAAGGGTTTGACGTCAAGATTGGAACCGGTTGTGTCTGTAAGCTGTCGATATACCGCTACAGTCCGCCAGGATTAGTTTAGCTTTACAGAGCAGCGGGAAGGAAACCGCACGGCTTTTTGACGACTTAAAACAAAAAAACCTAAACTGTGTAATCATTGTGAGGTGATATGGGCGACATGGAAAAAACAATCATATCACAACAGATTTTTTTGAAAATATCACGATCTTACCACGATTTAGACAATTCAGGCGTTTTGGAAGTTATTTACAAATAAATTACATCAATTTAAAAGCATACCTCTTCATCATCCATCCATCTCAGCCGAGAGCTAGAGACACAAGTCTCAAATGTCCCACAGGTACTTTTATGTAATTATATTTATAATTAATGTAAACTAATTTGATAAAAGGTGGTTTGGTGCTGCGTCTGCAGTGGCGCGGCCGCTGTGCCGGTCTGTCGTGGTGAACTACAACTTTTACCAACTCTCTTTTGTTAAACCAAACTTCTCCGTTGCTTTGAGTTCCGAGGACATTTATTAAGATGGTATTATCTGATTAATCCTCTCAACCAACCTTTGAGAAAAAACAGAACCAACAACAAACAACTAGCTAAACAACACAATGACTATAAAAATAAATAGAAAAAGCACAGCTGCAATAAAAATGGCATTATCCTAAAGAAGCGTCATCAGTGTTCGTCCATCTAATGGTAGTAATTATTCTGCGCCGTCATAAAGAGATGTAGTGTTTGTGTTTAGCTTGCAGTTGCCACCTGTAGTAGTACGGACAGTTCTTGCGCTCCGTGGAGTCGGCTGTGACGGCGCTGACGATCTGCTCAGCGTCTGTATTCACCAGCTTGACAGAGTGGATGGTCAGGTGTTGATTGAGGTTAGCCCTGCACTTGGCTGCATAAGGACACAGGTGACACTTGTACTTCCTCTCTTCTGCAACAAAACACACAGATGATGGCTCGTAAAGCAGAAGTCCCTTAGCTTCATGAGCAAATCTGAACCTAAAGACTAGAAGAGCGAGTCACTCCTAAATTAACTGTTTTTCTAGATAAACTGTATGAGTGTGTATTGGTGCTGTAGACACGTCAGGGCATTTAGGCAGTTTAGTGCATCTTATGTAAAATATAAATACTCTGCCTAAAACAGTCAGTGTAGCGCCCTCTTCAGGTTAAAAGTCTGCTCTACATTTGAACTTGAATCAGCCATTGCTATTGGCTAAGGTATCATCTACGTTAGCCAGCTATCCTGACACGGCTGCTCTGCACTAGAGCCGAGTCTCAGCCACGCCTCCGTCTGCTTCGACCACTCACGGGCCGATACGAAACGATACGACTCAGAGCCTGTCTCCCCCTCCTTTGATTCCACCTCCCTTTACTTTTCTTCTGGTGAAGAAATACTCCATACTAGGAAACCTGTTATTGTCTCTATTTCCGAGCGATGTGTGTATGTGTGTGTGTTTGTTGGCCAAACTGTAAATAACATCCTCAGAAAAAATAACAACGTCCATCTGACACTAAACGTAGAAATCAGTAAGGACATGGATACATAAAACATCCTCACATTTCTGACCGATGAAGAACTTCCACAAAACAAGATCTCTCTCTCTCTCTCACACACACACACACCCCAAGGACATGAAGCCAGGCAACCTTTATGTCGCCGGGGAAACCAAAAAGACCATCACACTGACATATGCCCCTGCTTCTGCTCTCTGTGGTGTGGCCAAGCTGTTCTCAGCCAACACTCTCAGATGGTGTGTGTGTGCACGTGTGCGTGTGTGCGAGCTTGTTCAATTGTGTGGGGGCATTTTGTACAAGTCTCTGTTTGTGAGCTGAGTGAGTGACTTATTCTGTTCCTCATGTCCAGAGTTAATTTGCCTTAAATAAAACAGCAAGGGGCAGGATTATCATTAGATGCTTTTAACTAACGAGGACCGAGAGCAGGACAGCAGAGGACAGGGATGGGGCCGAAAGGATCAATGGGAAGTGAGGAGGGGCTGAGCTCGGAAACCCGGCGTAATCAGGTCATCGGGGAGGGAGGAAGCCTTGTGTGTCCGTGTGCGTAAAAGAGAAAATGAAAGAGTGAATCAGCCTCAGCAGCATCGGAATTACGTGTGTGTGTGTGTGTGTGTGTGTGTGTGTACACTGTGCGGCATCCTTCATGCTGGCTAATTAGACGGCGGTTTTCCCAGTGAGACTAATCATGCTAGTAATCTCTTTAAAAGACGGGTAATCTAGTCTGGTCAAACTTGTTTATTTACAGCAGGAAGTACAAACACAACTAACAAACAAGTATACATGAACAAAAAATCTGTTACTAACCTGTGTGTAGAGACAGGTGTCTAGAAAGGGTCTGCTGTCTACCGAACACCTTGCCACAGATGGGACAGGGGAAGAGCTGCTCGTGTAGTCTCCATTGGGCGATTCCATTTCCCGGTTCGCCGTCGTCTTTCTCTGAGTCTGAAACACACATACGCACGCACGCATGCACGCGCACACACACACACACACACACACACACACACACACACACACACACACACACACACAGATCGACAATAGTATAATTTCCTGCTGACACAATCAGCCACTACAAGATCAGAGCCAAACACTGCAGAGGTGTAGAGGTACACTACTGTGAGCCTAACTTAATTCAACATGGAATAACAATAAAAACATAACATTAAATTGATTAAACACTGCTGTGATGATGTGTTCACTAAAGTAATATGTAGCTTTAATTTGATCTGTGTTTCCCCAGCACTTTGCTTTTTATTAGAAGACTGAGAGAACAAGCAGTTGTATGTCTAAACCGCTCCTCAGACCCATCACTCATAAACAGCAGGAATGTAACAAAGGTGTCCAAGACAGAAAGCAGACTCCTCTAAATGTAAAAGACTCTGAGCACAAGTGAAGATACTTAATCCACATCAAATGGGGTTTTAAATAAAACTAGTATTCAAGTATAACCTCGCATTCCCTTGAAACGGAAACAAACTTGTATTTGTCTGATATCCAAAATCCTAAAGATATCTCTAATGGTTTAAAAAAGGGGGCTAAATTAATCTCTTTAATTTTGGGCCGACTATAGAGCTGTGGGCTGACCAGCCTGCAGGCTGGACACCATTTAAACGTGGTCCTTCATGCCTCATTCACACAAATCGGATATCGGAATGGACGCACTCCGATCCATAAAGACCAAAAAGCATGTGGTCCATTCTCACCAGCTGTGGCGCGGTGCAGATCTGGATGGGGCACTCCGGAAAGTTTCTGCATGGAGTCTATTTTGTCAAGATGCTGCATGCAGATTATGATGAAGTTAAAAAAATTACATGAGCCAGACAGGAAATTAAAGGGGGGCATCCGGTTTATTTCAAAATAAAGCCAGTGTTGTGTTTTATTATTATTAATAGCTGGGATATCCATTCACGTGTTTGATTGTTCACATTATTTTTGCAAGTAAATCTTTAAAAGCATTATGTCACATTTCTAATCATTTGGCGAGAGCAAATTTCTGAACCAAACCACAGTCGGTGTGAACGGCGGTACATCCGTAAGCCGTACCGCATCTGTTACGTTCTCTGTGTAAATGAGGCGTTACTCTGCAGCTACCACAGCTCCCTTCATCTGAACAAGAACGAGACCGAATGTGTGCAAACGCCTGAAAAACCCCTAAGAAAAGAATTTGCTGCTTTAAGTTTAACCCCAGCATATCAACAGATTCAAAAGGGAGAAAACATACTGTTCTTTCCACTATTGTGCGGCATAACTTCTAAAGATGAAACAGACCGTCCATGTTGTTCAGCGGCACAGGCTGGCCTTGAACCAAAGTGTGAGCATAGAAAGGACAAGAAGGTGCTCTTGGAGTTCCTTCAGAACACAGACAAGACATTTCAATAGACGAGGTATTTGTGGCAGTCTGAACACCTCCTTTAGGAAAAGCAAATACTTATTCCGGCGTTTGGGGGCAGGTTTTGTGGCAAGTGGTAAAGACCAGATGGTGTTGTGAGAAGACATTCAGCTGCTGTCGCACTGACTCACACAACCTTGAACATTTTTTTCTCTGTCTCACATATTTAATTTCCTCTTCCCTCTAAAAGTGCAAACTGCTAAATTTATGTTGTGTGCTTTTGTTAAATCATTTTGACTTGTGTAGCGTAGATCATCTACATAACTAGGATTTAACACTGTTTGCTATTCAGCTCTGCTAAATCCCGAGAAAGATCAAACAAATTAGCAAATGAAACTTATGTCATGTATAGATATCCATGGATATCTACTGTATATAATCGATAGAAGTTCATACACCAACTGGCTTGGTCTATATTTAATCCAAAGATTAATATTTAATTTAAGAGATTTAATTAATAGCAAAAGTTTATTTATTAAATCAGAAGACTTAAAGAAATCTTTGCTCGTTCAATGAACAAATATACACCACTCTGTGTTTCATTTCAAAGAAGAGTCGGGTTTAAAAAGTTAAGAATTTATTACTAACAATTTAAACATGACAATTTAAAAGACAATTCATGAATGACAATTTATAAAAGCTTTGATATTAAAACTTGGTATTAAAGCAACCTGTGTCTGGGTGAAAACTAAAATGAAATGTGTGTGTTGGATGTGTGAATGTAGTCTCAGAAGGTTTCTATCAGAGAGAGAAAACGCGTTCTGGGTGAAAGAGTTGTTTTGCAGCTAAGCTAAGTTATTTCTTAATAAGAAACAGGCATACGGATGCAATCTGTCGGAAGTGTCTACCTCACCCAGTTAGGAGACCCCCTTCTTGGATCCGAGATGTCAGGAGGAGATGATGACCTCCAAGCACGAGGTGGGTAGAAGAACCGTAGTGCGACCAAATCGGTCCTGAGATGTCTCCGGGTCCCAACGACTGATGAAACTGGTTGCGTCTCAAAAAATCAATAACTCTGAAGGAGTTTTGCATAGCTTGTTGCAGATGGCGTCTTGTTGGAGCAATTCTATCAGCGTGACAGAACAGCTTAGTGGAGGCTTCGAGAGGCCGACCCGATCCTCTGGGTGCCACCACGGAGAGATTTTGGTGAGCTCAAGAACTGAACTTGAAGTGAGGAGTTTTGGTTTTATTATAACTCAGAACACGCCCTCTCAGAGACAGAAAGCTTGTTGTCATGGAACACAGACATGTGAGTGCAGTTACCTTTAAGCGGATTTCAGTGTCCTGCATGGTGTGTATAAGTGCACATGACCTTCTGTCACTGATCAGCATTACTGATTATCATAAATAATATTTATTATTAACCAAAGAATAATAATTCATTTCAGTAATTAAATACATTTCTAATGAACCATGATGATTATTTATGAACCTTGCAATAGGACACTTAAAAGAGTTTATTAAAAATGATTCTTTTAAATCTTGAAGTGTCCTTTATCTTGCAGATGGAACAGCAGTCAGATTAAAGATGGTTTACAGCAGACTTCGTGTCTCCTGTGATGAATAATCTGTAAATACAAGTACAGCCAGGACAGCTTGACCCAGCTGAGGAAGTGTCACCTTTTGGTCACAGATGAGGCCATTGATGTCGCTACACTTGTGTTGCAGACTTCTTTGAACATTATTTGGGACTGGCAAAGCGAGCGACAGCACATTCAGGTTAAAGGACCAAAACACAATTACTGACATATTGGGATTGTTCTTTTTTTTTTGTAATGAATGAAAAATTCAGTTGATTTTCATATGAGAAGTGACTGATTTAGTCACTGAAAAGCAAGACAAAATGAGGGCAGGGTGCAGTCAGACGACCGTTAAAGTGCTACAGAAATTAAACAGAATTTTTATTTGATCAAATTCTGATTTTGTTTTACTAATCATCTATATTACTTGTCTCAGTTTAGGGAAAAAACAGGCGCTGACCTAAACTGTTTTGCCATAATTGACCCTTACCCGGATGTAGGCGATAAATCGATTTAATGAATTAATTAGAAATTTTTGTTGCAGGCGATTTAAAAGAAGTAAATCAAATTTTTATGTAATGGCTCCTTTTTGGCCCCCCAGAGCTTCTGTAGCATTAGTTTCACATAACCGAGACAACAATGTCACAGCACGCACATGAAACAGCAACAGCAAGCAACTCCACGGCCACCAGTGAGGGAGGAAGTTCATTCCTAAGAAAGGAATTAAATCTTCCATTGTTTGGAACTGGTTTGGGTTTGCTGCGACGGACGTGGAGCGTGGAACTTTTATTCCAAGAGGGTGTTCATTTATTCATTATTCTTCTCAGTATTACATTTGTCTTGCTTGTGATTAAATAATCTTAATAACTGAGGGGGAGAGAGAATCGGAAAAAAATCGTAAATCAAACAAAAAAAAAAAATTAATCTGAGATTTTATTTTTAGGCCGTATCGCCCAGCCCTATCCGGATGTGTAAGCGGAACAGACACATTTTCTTCATGACCTCAAGAGCTTTGCTTCCCACCAACATCTTTTCATATGTGAATCTTAAGCAAAATTGTTCCATGCAGCTGGTCCCGCAAGATCACCAAATCACTGGAGAATTGCAAAACCACGTATGACTTGCAAACAACGACAAAGGCGACGGCATATTTCCAAAAGGTCTTTGGTTTATCTTCTCTTCTGTTAACCTCAGCTGCAGAGGCATCACAGGTGATGACGCACTTTTAGTTAAGCAACTGGAAATCTGCATGTGTCTTATTTTGAAAGTCTCCAGATGTTTTACACTGCTGAGAGACATTCAGAGGAGCAGTTTGATTGGTGGGTTATGATCCAATCATTTAGAAGGGGGACCAGCACTGGATTGGATGAGGTTTTTCTAGGATTGTGCGTTTCAGAGGCGATTTTTATTTATTTTTTTTGACAAAACATTTCATTTATTGTTTTGCCATCGCTATGTGAACTGCATTTCAAGCAAAATGTCAAAAAATGTTCCAGGTGTTGTTTCAAGTAGTTGTTCAAGAATAAACCCTGCGTATCCTTTATGTGTAAAACATATTCCTGATGTTCTCACGTGAAACATTTCTGCGCTTTTAACCCATCGTGTTGCTGCCATGTTGTCACCCATATGTGCTTCCTGCTGCAGGTCTGTGGCTCATCTCAGTAATAACAAAACTCCAAGCAACTAAAACAACATCTGCCTGCAAACTACGTACAGCAAGTAATAAAAATTAAACGTGTTTTAGCAGTCCTGACTCAGACATGAAACTAGAGGACGGCCTGGTCACTCGAAGGGACGGGAAGTCAAACAAGCGAGGACAGTAAGCCATGACCCAGCAAACACACTCATGATTAAGCCAATTAGAGTGTATGGCTTTGAAGTGGTTAACGCTTTAATTAGCGCTGTTAGAGCGGAGAAGGGAAACGCAAACAAGAAATGAAGAAGAGAGTTGAATCCCAGACTGGATGCAGGAGACTCCTGGAGCCACACTGCTATCACATAAACGCTTACTCAATTATTTCTTTCTTGCTTGCTTTAAGGCGACTGTCAGCTACGTCTGTGTCTGTGTAAACACAGGAACAGAGACCGACAACAGCTATGATCCAGCAGTTATTTTTTATGTAACTTACTGAGAGTTCAACAGCAGTCAGAGCAACTTAAAACTGCTGATTAGACCAAGATAACTACCTGTGTTTGGATTAGTAGAGGGAAATAAAAACAGCAAATGACCAAAACAAGAGCAAAGAAGACGGAAAGCGGTTGAGGCTGGATGTGAACCTCAAACACACGGGGAAAGACCTGAGCGAATTAACTTTCAGGACACTGTTGACACCCAGAAGCCAATCAGATTTTCATTAACTGGCAGAGGGACAGGCAAAGCTGGCACAAGCTAATTAACCTCTGGATCTCTCACTGTCAAAGAATCACGGAGAGAAGTTCTAGGATGCCAGGGACGAGTGGTGGTGGGGGGTGTTAGGAGACGCCCGGGGCAGTGCTTTAGTAAATATGAAACCTGTAGAAGGGCCTGTGTGTTAACGCACCTGTGCAGTATGACCATAGCTGAGCTACAAAGAGTTTAGCATCTGTATCCATGAGAACATGTTAGCATTTCACTTCATTTTCTCTCAATAAAAATTATATTTTCATTTCCTTAGACACATGATCCTTATTGACAAACAAATCTATTTTGATTCATCTCTATGCCAATTCTTCTGACATCTAATTTACTAAAGAAAAAGATGGAGACCAAAATCAACCTAAAGATTCACGCAGAACTTTCTTCTGATCAGAACCTATGGATCTATAAAGTGTATTACAATAACGATAAAACATCACATTACTAATCATTTACTAAACATTTGTAGCACTGGAATGAAAAAACATCTGAAAATGATTCAATATTTTGATAAATCTTCTATTAAATAATTAAAACAAAGAACATGAATTCTCCAGCAGTTATTACTGAATCATCACTGTTCCCTCATTTCCCAGGCTTTGCTTCTGTACATATATGAAGTGTGTGTGTGTGTGTGTGTGTGTGTGTGTGTGTGTGTGTGTGTGTGTGTGTGTGTGTGTGTGTGTGTGTGTGCGTGCGTGCGTGCGTGTGTGCGTCTCACCGTGGAAAGCTGCCCTGGTAGAGGAGCTGGCCTCCGCGGGGGAAGAGCTCTTGGAGCGCGAGTTAAAGGGTGATTGTCTGAAGCATTCGTCCAGGAAAGAGCTGAAACAGAGAGACATGCTGGTGATGTTACAAACACTCACACGGCCACTAAAACTCCCACTTATGTAGGTTTTTAGTCCAACTACTAAGTCTATTTTTGTCTTTTTAATACATTTTAGAAAATGAAGAGTAACAGCGCCTTACCTGTTTATTCCAACCATGTTGCTGTCTTTGTGGTTGTTGGCTTTGCTGACTTTTTCTGAAAATAAATAAAAATAACCACAACAGGGTTAACCTTTCAAAACTGAAACATGCAAGTGTTTATTTTTTTAAATATAAACCCTGATGAGAAACAAAAATCATGCTGCTGGAGACAGCGGGTTGATGAAAGGACCTTTGGATTCACTTCAGATTTCTACTTTTCTGTAGTTGTTCACTTTCAGGTCTGTGGCTGCTGACACGTCTTCAGACCAGCAGACAGCTTCAGATCATTGTTGGTCAGTAGGGTTCCTAAAACTACAGTCATCGTTAAATGTCTGATGGTGATACAGTCTCACTGTTTTACTCAAAGTACAAATTCATCACTTAGATGAGGGAGGTTATTAGGTTTTTAAACACCGCTACGTTTGGACATGACCTTAGATACACCTGTGGGGCACTCATTAGCACCAGGTCTATTTTTATTTTAAAGACATATTACCAGACAAATGAGTGAAATTTGAAAGTTGCACAATGTATTTGTGTGCAAATAAAATGTTAATTTAGTCACTTCATCCACTACAATCACCAATACCGGCACTCCCCAGGGGTGTGTTCTCAGCCCCTTCTGTACAAACTCTACATTAATAACTGCACCAGCCCCTCACCTGTCACAACATAAATTCAAATACTCAGACAACACAGCCATCATAGCTCTTCTTAAGGAAATTAACTCCATAGAAAAGAAAAAAATCTTTTATATAGCACCTCTCAAGATAAAAATCACAAGGCGCTTCACAAAAACAAAACATGTAAAATATGAAAAAGATTTTTAAAAATGATGATCTGCTTCCTCTTCAGCACATTCTGAGCTCCTTTAAAGGAATCTCCTACCATCTTTATGCAGATGACATCCAACTGTGCATCTCCTTTAAGCCCCATGAGATGTCTAAGCTGCAGCTGTTTCACACCTGCTTAGACTCTATCAACACCTGGATGGCTGTGTATGGCTGCTAGTGGAACTGGTTCTCTTGTATTTATTGATGATGTGACTGCTGACAAAAGCAGCACAATGAATTCTGAAGTGTTTCGGGCAATTATCCGCTCATATTCAGCCAAATGCCTCAGAACTCATTGGACGGCGCTTCACAGTGCAGATGGACAAGGACCCAAAGCATACTGCAAAAGCAACCAAAGAGTTTTTGAAGGGAAAGAAGTGGACTGTTTTGCAATGGCCAAGTCAATCACCTGACCTGAATCCGATTGAGCATGCATTTCACTTGCTGAAGACAAAACTGAAGGGAAAATGCCCCAGGAACAAGAAGGAACTGAAGACTGTTGCTGTAGAGGCCTGGCAGAGCATCACCAGGGATGAAACCCAACGTCGGGTGATGTCTACGTGTTCCAGACTTCAGGCTGTAATTGACTGCAAAGGATTTGCAACCAAGTATTGAAATGTACACGTTTGATTTATGGTTCTTATTCTGTCCCATTACTTTTGGTCTCTTAACAAGTGGGAGGCACATATGCAAACTGTTGTAGTTCCTACACCGTTCACCTGATTAATCAATTTCCCTCTGGGATTAATAAAGTATTTTTGAATTGAATTGATCTGGATGTAAATACCTCAAATAAAAGATGACAGTCTGCAGTTAAAGCACATCTTGTTCGTTTCATTTGATATCTATTGTGGTGGTGTATAGAGCCAAAAATGTTAGCATTGTGTCGATGTCCCAATATTTATGGACCTGACTGTAGTGAATGTGTCAATAACTTACATGTTATTATAAACATCCACAAACGTTCTCAGTAGAAACGCTATATCCTTCACAAGCTCTGTTCGCTCTCTGTCACCCCAAAATGTCTTTATTGTAATTCACCAGCATTACCCAACCCAACCTTCTCTACTGCTTCCCCGTTACTTCAATATGCTGTCAATCACCAAAAGGAACAAACTAACCAAGGTTAACAACACTGCATTCAAAATCATCGGCATACCCATCTCAGATCTCTCCCACTCAAACAATAAAGCCATCACACGTATGGCCCTGACCATCAGCAGTGACCCAGACCACCCCCTCCATAGCCATTTCTGCCAGCTGCTCTCAGGCCGCAGATACAGGACTCTTAGGTGGAAGCGGGAATGCTTCAGTAAAGCTTCATCTCTTCTGCCATTGCTGCTCGACAGTTTAAAACGCCAATTCTCCCCATACCATTCATCCATCCATCCATCCATTCATCCATCCATCCATCACAAGACTGTATTACATTGTACCATCACCATATGCATAAAAGTTTTAAACAAACAAAAATTCTAGCAAATGTTCATTTATGTATTTTACAGCAATAAAGTTCTTCTTTGTCTGTCACCGACCAGTCAGAAGGTCAACTGTTTAATATCCAGCCTCCCTACATGTCCTTGGGTAATAAACCCAACCCCATATTGTCCCTGATGGACTCATTAGTATGTATGTAGTAGAAGAGTGGCTGAAACACAAAGAGCCTAGCTCAGGTAAGACGCTGCTGTATTCAGAGACTTTCTACCATTTACCCAAATCAGCTGATGGAAACTGGCTCTACATTTTCTCAAACCTGTAAAAACTCTGAAATTTTATTTTTGCTGACACCGCCAAGAGCCTTTAATATTAGTGGCTGTGAGATGACGCCACCCAGAGATTGAATAATCCATCAACTACTGAGATGAATCAAGACATTTAATGTAACAAGCTTAATATTAATTTTCACAAAAAGTCATTTCTCCCAACGAGCTTCACTCCCACAGTGAAGGAAGACGAGATCAACCTGCTAGCATGAAACAGTGAAACATCCTTTTTTTTCCCAGATACAGATGTTTTTGTTACATTATGGGTGAATAATTAGAAGACATGTGAAGACGTTGTGTGGAGCAGAAATGGTGAAGCCAGCCTCTACCTGTGCACAGATCAGGGCTCCTCAGTGTTCAGTAATAAAGGGCTCTACACAAAATGAATGAGAACAGAGCCATATGTGTGAGTTTCAAGGCGATGTACTGGAGTGAATTTCAAAGCTGCAATCATCTCAGTGTTCAGAGCGACCTTGCTGCTGATGTGTCTCTGAGGTCCTACTGCTCTGGGTAATTCATATTGATTGCTCATTGTGTGACAGCAGCCCACTCTGTTCCAGTCCCCCTCACATTCACACCAAGTTCTGAGGGGGCGGTCATCACTGCTGCCAGGCCAGCCATGCCCTGGCCTCTCTGGGTGGGCATACAGGGTGGCGCTGCCACCCCCCACACCCCTTCTACCCACCTTACCCACTGCCTCACCCCCTACACTCTCCTCATCGAAATCCACTACCACCCCCGTACCCAAAACACTCCGCTCAGTCACAGTGTTCGCCAAGGACAGAGGTCTCTCTCCATGTTGCCATGGAGATGCCGCACAGGAGAAATGTAAAGGGAAGAAGGGAGGGAAGGAGAAGGGGGGGGGGGGGGGGGGGGCATGTGCAGCCAAGTGTGCTTGAGCAGGCATGTCTGAAAACAAGTGAAGGGAGAGAAGAGAGAATGAGAGAAAGGAGGAGAGGGTGGAGGGAGGAGGGGGCATTTGTGCAGACACCACTCCCCATGGGGCCTTGTGCGAGTGTGTAAAGGTGTGTGTGAACGACGGTGTGGGAAAGAAAAATTGTCAATGTGTGAATTTGTGGCCGTGTGTGAGGGCAAGAAGTAAGAAAAGAGAGGGATTCAATACAAGCGTGCTCATCTGCACGGCATTTAAGCAAAGCAAATCAGACATTGGACAAAATACCCCCCCCCCCCCCCCCCCCCCCCCACACACACACACACACACACACACACACACCTGCCTTTTCTCAGGGGATGATGGAGACATGTCAAAGCACTGTCCTAATCTTAAAAAAAACAAGTAATGGTATCACCAACAGAGGAAAAAAACTGGATACTAGAACAGCAAGTATCCTTGACTTTAGTAAAAAGCAGTGAACAGAAAGAATCTACAGTGTGTGTGTGTGTGTGTGTGTGTGTGTGTGTGTGTGTGTGTGTGTGTGTGTGTGTGTGTGTGTGTGTGTGTGTGTGTGTGTGTGTGTGCACACGCACCTGACAATTTGAATAATAGTTCAGAAGCCATTTTGACCGATATGTCTTGGGAGAAGAGATCTTTCTGGGGGCAGGCCAACGTCTCGGAGAGGTTACTCACTGGCTCGCTCTTCTCACTCGCCCCTAAAGTGCTGAAGTTCAGCAGGTGGGAAGCAGGTGGGGTGAGTTCTGCTGGGGGCGGGTCCACTTCCATTGGTTCTGCCTTTACTTTCACCTTTTGGAAATGGGCATCTTTGTTGTTCTCTGGAGAGCACGTAAGAACACACAGTGGCTTGTTAGCATAATCATGACGCCACATAACCAAACCTCTACTGGACATTAACATCTGAACACCTGTGAAGTTTCTGTAAGCTTGATAAAATGGTAACACTTCCTCCTTACCCCGAAGAAACCTTCAAATATAAAATAAGTTACATTTTCTGCTTTTGTTCCAGAAAACATTTTAAAATTTTTTGAGGATGAACAAAAAAACTTTTAAAACCTGAAGCTAAGTAATGACCTCACACTAAATGTCTAAATGCACTGATGCATATTTACCAGGTGCTGAGAGAGGTTCATGACACTTTTTACATGAAACAAGTAAAATAAATTAAATTAAATTAAAAAAGGTCCAGGCTCATGTCTACTTCACCAAAAAAAGATTTTCCAACTTAGTTTTAAATTTTACAATTTCTCTGTATTTATTTGTCTTCATTATTGATGGTCCTTATAATGTGCGTGGACTATTATTTATTATCACCCTTTGCCAAAAGGGAAATGGTGAGATAGATTATGAACAACTGGAGGCACATCTAGAACGGGTTCACTCGTCAAAGATGGCCGCTTCAGCTTCAACTAACAAAACCATCCAGACCTCAGCCTACGTTAACGATAATAAGCTGCAGCACGCCGCTAACCAGTCATGCAGGCGAGAGAACGTGTGAGAACAGACTCGAGTTTTCTCCAAATCATTTCTCAACATTGAATGATTTAGTATGGGTGTGATGAATGCTAAGTGGATGATCTGACACTTTTAAACTGATTACACAGTAATGAGTCATGTCACTTGAATTTTCACTACTACTACTCTTATATTATCGTGTAATAACATTTGGATTACTAACCCTTCAGGGCCCTTTTTAAATACAAAACAGGAATAACTACATCAACATTTAGAACAAATAAAATGAAATAAAGAAGTAAAATAATTTTTGGTATGGATAAGATGTCACCTGGGGTTGTCAAACCTGAATATATGACTTAAGAAGCAATTTTGCAGAAGCTTGAAATGGGCCGTAGCGCCAGTGGGTTCTTAAGGGTTAAACAGTACAAACGTTACACCTACACATGTCAGTTTAATAAGTTGTGTGGTAAAAAAACATTTATATAATTCTTATTCGTGGTTCAATTTTGACCACACCAACACTCATAAATGTAGTTCTCATCTTTTTCTTTTGGTCGTCACTGTTTGTTTATCGAGGAAATTTCCCTCTGGGATCATTAAAGTATCTTTGATTGATTGGTTTGAAAAGTTGTTATGTTAGACAATCTGTGAAAACCTTTGGATGATGCACCAAATAATGGCGAAGAAATGAACATATTAATATAAAATTATTTTTTTTATTGAGGATAGGATGTATAAATAACTGAACCCATACAATTCAACAGAAAGGTAGCATGATATTGGTTATAGGATGATTCATGTAAAGCAGCATGAAGAAGCAGCAAAACATATGCACTCATAAATGTTGCATTTGTATGCAATAACTGCAATATCAGGCTGCACAGTTCAACTCTTATTTATCATTTCAATTTTGTTTCTACAAACTAACCCATAAGCAATCCATCCATCTAATGAGAGAGCGTTAATCTTTACCAGTGATAAAAAAGGCCAAACACTGCTGTTCTTCCCTCAGGTTCGTGATGAATAAACTCTACTCTGTGATTAAACCATCGGACAAAAACTAAACATAAAAAGGGGCTAAAGAAAAAAGAAGAATATTTACACACCCAGGGATGCTGCACGGATGAAATTAAATTTTAAGCACGAAAACCCAAATACACCTAAAAGATGAGCGCCGTCTCTAAAGCCGGACTGAGCCGGTTAGCATCTCATCGTGCGGTTATTAGGGCAAGAGTGCACTGGGGGGTCAGGCTGCTGCTCGAAGGAGGGATCCAGCAGCTCTTGTGGGTTCACCCAAGCAAACAAAAAGGCAGTAAAACCTTCTGAATGTTAACAAAGGGGCACAAAATCTATGTTTATTCATCTGAAAATTGTTTTACTTTTTTCCTCCTGGCACACAAAGCAATGGAGTAAAAGGTGAGAACGGCCGTTGCCTCGCTTCGCTCACAGGTTCTAACAGTTAGCGGGCTAAAAATAGCCGAGAGGGAAGCGACCACTTTTAGGAATGTCCCCGTCTCGTCTGTAGGCTTTGGTTTTATCTACGGATTTCACTAAAAACACAAAGTATTAAAAAAAATAGATGGGAATGATCTTAACAAAAAATACATGATTTAAATGTCTAAAGCTGGAATAAAGAAAACAACCTAAATCAGGGCGATGACAGGGGGTGGCGTCTTATTGTGATGACAAACAGGAGCAAAACAAAGCAGTTGGGCTGATCCACCGTGGCCGACACTGCCACTCAGCACGACTATGGGATATATGAAGTTGGCAGGCCATCAGGCGCAGTGGGAGGGGCAGGGACAGGTTAGGAGAGCAGGAGGAGGAGGGGGGAGAGAGGAGGGGAAAACTCAGTGTTACCCCCCCCCCCGATTTACTTTTTCCACTCATCTGTGAACAACTGCTACATCAATGTGTTTTTTGACAGGTTATGAGAATAAATTAAAGCTAAACCAAACCTCCCCATGCCTCCTCCCTTAGAGCCAGGTGTCTGGTTTATGGGGAGAAACAAGCATGGAGGGGGGCACTGACAACCATCAGCACCACTAATCCTTTAATCAGGTGGCTTGAGTTGGCTGAGTAACCTAGGAGAGGCTGATAGAGAAGAAGAGAGGAGAGGTGAGGCGGGAGGGGGGGATGCACTGTAAGGGTCAACCAAGGGACACGCGCGCTTCCATCACTGGATCACAGCTCTAACTGCAGAGGCGGCAACGACGGCAGAGCTGCGAAATCACTAAAAACGGGTTAAACACGCCAACTATCTCATAACATCACGTTACGCAAGAAAAAAAATACTTTTTTGATCATAAAAGCTCCACAGCAGGCCAGAGGAAAATACCTGTCCCTAAATAAAACATTAAAATACGGCCCTCGCTCCCACACTGATAGTAGCTGTGGCTTTTTGCTCAGGGTCGTGACCTAATGTTCTGCTGCCATAAAAAGCAGCCTTCAGTCTGCCTGTGTGCCCCATGTGTCCATGTGCAGTGTGTGTCATCCCCTCGGTGCACGAGCCTCCTCTGTGATATACCAACTGCCATTAGGCCACAGAATCAGCTTTGGAAAAATCCACCAGTGTAGGTGTTTGTACGCATGGAAAAGTGCCTTCCTAGATAAGCACGAAAACTTTTCCTTTTCGCTCAAAATTCTCCAACAAATATCGACATGGTAACGGCGTGATCAAAGGAGTCAACAATGTACGTTTTTTAAATAAGAATAAATTTGCACAGAACAGAATAATCTTTAACCGACGGGGTTTCTGTTGTCTAAAGAGGAGATGTTGGACTGCAGAGCGCTGACACCAGAACAACAGTTTAAAGTGAAGTTTCCCATTTCTGCAGAACTTCTTTTGTTTTTAAAGTCCTTGTTTTCACAAACCCATTTAACTGTGAACTCTTATGTTAATACCAGAGCAGGTTTAACATTCAAATCCACTTAGACTCATCGTTTTTCTTCCGGATGTCGTTTAAAGAAAAAGCCGCGAGCTTAAAGTTTTAGTTAGATTTATTTCCAGTGAGTGAGTAAATAAATTCACATGGGTTCTATTTATGGAGCAGGTTGGGACCAATTTGGCTGAAACGTTTTCGAATGTGACCATTAGCCACAGAAAAGGTTACAAACGAAACCCCACATCAGCTCTGTTAGGACTGTAATGGCAACCACGCTGTCTTGTTAATAGAAACACTCACGCAGCACTGCTTATTATCCGAGCTGGATTTAAAGCAACTAGGATTCGTGTGATGTTCTGTTTTTAGTGATCAACTTTGACCCCAGGTGTCAACTTGAATCTGCACGGCTGCCTCGCTCAGAATATTTGTTTCTGCAAAAGGTTTGTAACTGTGCTCAGGTGAAAACAGACGTGTGCAATTAGTGATTTAATGCACGCTAGCGCCAAATCATTGCACCTCTTCTTTGATGCCCTGAAAGCAAACAAAGCGAGTTCTGAGGCTGACAGTCAACGAGGAGGACAGAGTGAGAGGCAAAAGTGGAAGGGTGAAGAAAGAATCAAGAAACAAAAAAATTGTCAAAGAGTGCCAGAAAAAGAACACCCGAGGGTAAGACGGAGGAGAAGACAGCAGAATGAGAAAGAAGAGCTGGGGGAGGACAGCACGATGAGAGCTGGCTACAGCCTAAATGACAAATCTCCACCTCTCCCTCCAACCCCCACCCCGTTATCCCAGTCTTCCCCTCTTTCTCTGCTCTGTTATTTCACATCTCTCTCCATCCCTGCCCCCATCCTTCGCTCTCTCGATCGCTCTATTCTCCTGCTCTCTAGCCGACCTGCTCAGACAGGGGTGAAGAGTTCAGGCGCTTCAAAGGCTGCAGTGAGGAGACTGCATGTCATGTGGGAGCCACAGCAGCCTCGCCTGCAGACTTCACAGACAGCTGCTGCTACAATTGATCCTCAACCAGCTAGCTCTCAATGGCTAGGCTTTCTAGCAGTTATAAACTGCAGCTTCATCTGATTCCTAAAGGTGGGCTTGAGAAACAGCTCATACGGAGTTACATACAGCCCTTAGGAACTGGTACGAAGCAAAAAAAATGGTTAAGTAGATTTCAAATCGTAAAGAGCAAGAGAAACTGCCTCAATAATTTTGTCAATGACTCCGGGATATGAAGCTATGCACATGAAACGTGAAGCAGAAAGAACTACGCTAAATTTAGTGTAAACAGAACTATATGAAGCGATGAAAAGCCAAAGAGACAGAAGGTGTAGAGGGCGGGAGTAAGAGAGGTCGGCGAGCGGCCACTCGGAGGGGTCATGGCGAGGACACTATCAGAGCAGAGCAGAGCTTAATATGAGGTAATACCCCACAATGACGCCAATGTTGTGAATTAGAACGGTGAACTGCTCTCCGTATGC